AGGGTGATGGTTGATGATAATTCTCTGATGAAGGTGATGGTTGATGGTGATGATTCTCTGATGAAGGTGATGGTTGATGGTGATGATTCTCTGATGAGGGTGATGATTCAATGATGATAGATAGCAATGGATGATGGTGGTGATTCCATGAAGATGGGTCATGATTCTGTGATGACGGTGATGGGATGTTGATTCTATGATGAGGGTAATGGTTCATGGTGTTGATTCTGTGATGAGGGTGATGGTTGATGGGGATGATTCTGTGATGATGGTGTTGATTCTGTGTTGGTGGTGATGGTGGTGTTGATTCTGTGTTGGTGGTGATGGTGGTGATGATTCTGTGTTGAGGGTGATGATTGATGGTGATGTTTCTGTGATGATGGTCATGATGGATGGTGGTGGTGATGACAACAGATGGTGGTGATGGATGGTAGTGATGATTCCATGATGATGATGATGATGATTCTCAATGATGATGGTGATTATTTGGAAGTGATTACAGTGATTCTGTGGTGATGGTGATTGGTGATGGTGATGCCTGAATGAGGATGGTGATCATTGGGCGATGGTGGTGAGGAATGATGTTGATGGGTGGTGGTGGTGATTCCGTGATGACAGTGTTGATTCTCTGATGGTGATGATTCAGTGGTGATTGTGACAAATGATGTTAATGATTCTCTGTGATGGTGGTAATGATTTGGTGAGGATGGTCATGAGTCAGTGGTGCTGGTTATGCTTCTGTGGAGATGATGGTGGTAAAGATTCACAGTGATGGTAGTGATGATTCTGTAATGACGGTTATGGGTGAGTGATGATGGAGGGACTCAGTGATGAGAGCAACGATGGGGAGGATTCACAGATGCTGGTTAGGATTCTTGGTGATGATTTGGTGGGGAAGGTGAGGATTCTGTGGTGATGATGATGGATAATAGTGACCATGGTTCATTGATGATAGACGATGGTGATGATTCTGTGATGATGGTGATGAGTGACGTGGCGATGCCTGTGGATGATGGCGATGATTCTATGGCGATGACGATGGATGTTGGTGATGATTCCGCCATGATGGTGATGATTGGGTGATGGTGGTGATGGATGATGATGATAATTCAGCAATGGTGGTCATGTTTTGGTAAAGAATCTGTGATGATGGTGATGATTCAGTGAAGATAGTGAAGATAATGGTGGTGATTTGACAATGGTGATGAGTCCTTGGTGATGGTGATGATTTGATGTTGATAGTGATGGATGGTGGTGATGATTTGGTGACGCTGATGGTCATGGCAATCATTCAACGATGGTAGTGATGATTCAGGGACGATGGTCATGATTCTCTGGTTGTGAAGAAGGTCGTGACTCTGAATGGTAACGAGTCAGTGATGCTGGTAATAAATCAGCGATGAAGGTGATGATTCTGTGGTGATGGTAAGGACTCAGTGAGCATGGTAACGATTCCGCAATGATGGTGATGGTGATAATGAAAGATAATGGTGATGATTTGATGATTCATTGGTGACGGTGATGATTGGATGTTGATAGTGACGGATGGTGGTGATGATTTGGTGATGCTGATGGTCATGGCAATCATTCAACAATAACAGTGATGATTCAGGGATGACGGTGAGGGTTCTGCGGTGGTGGTGATGGTGATGACTCTCCGTGATGGTGGTGAGGATTCTGTGGCAGTGAGGATGGTCACGATTCACAGTGATGGTACTGAGGATTCTGGAATGATGGTTATAGGTGAGGGACGAGGTAAGGACTCAGTGATGAGAGCGATGGGTGTTGGTGAGGACTCGGTGATGATGATAATACTGAATGATGGTTGATAGTGATGACGGTGAGGTTTCCCAGATGAGGGTGAGGATTCCGTGGTTCTAAGGGTGACGCTGTGGTGGTGACGTCAGTGGCTCGGTGGTGTTGAGTGATGCTTTGGATTCCCTGATAATGGTGAAGATCTGGGGATGATGGTGAGAGATGATGGTGATCTAGTGACGATTGGGCAATGATGGCGATGATGGTGACAATTTGTTGGTGACTTCTGTTGAAGCTGGAAGAGCGTGACCTTTCTTTCTTTCTCTCTCTCTCTCTCTCTTTTTGTTTTTCTCTCTCTCCTGTCCGCAGTGATCCGAACCAGCCAGTTCCCCAGGACACCAAGTTCATTCACACGAAGCCCAACCGCTTCGAAGAGGTGGCCTGGTCCAAGTACAACCCCAAAGACCAGCTGTACCTCCACATCGGCCTGAAGCCCCGGGTGCGGGACCACTACCGGGCCACCAAGGTGGCCTTCTGGCTGGAACTGGTACCTCACTTGCACAACCTGAACGAGATTTTCCAGTATGTCTCCACCACCACGAAGGTGCCCCCACCCGACATGACCTCGTTCCCTTATGGCACCCGCCGTTCCCCGGCCAAGATCTGGCCCACCACCAAGCGGCCGGCCATCACGCCCGCCAACAACCCGAAGCACTCCAAAGACCCTCACAAGACGGGGCCTGAGGACACCACGGTGCTCATCGAGACGAAGCGGGACTACTCCACCGAGCTGAGTGTCACCATCGCCGTGGGCGCCTCGCTGCTTTTCCTCAACATCCTGGCCTTCGCCGCGCTCTACTACAAGAAGGACAAGCGGCGCCATGAGACACACCGGCGCCCCAGCCCCCAGCGCAACACCACCAACGACATCGCGCACATCCAGAACGAGGAGATCATGTCGCTGCAGATGAAACAGCTGGAGCACGACCACGAATGTGAATCCCTGCAGGCCCACGACACGCTGCGCCTCACCTGCCCGCCCGACTACACGCTCACGCTGCGCCGCTCTCCCGACGACATCCCGCTCATGACGCCCAACACCATCACCATGATCCCCAACACACTGTCGGGCATGCAGCCCCTACACACCTTCAACACCTTCAGTGGGGGCCAGAACAGCACCAACTTACCCCACGGCCACTCCACCACCCGAGTATAGCTTTGCGGGGGGCTACTACCCCTGCTCCCTCCCACAGCGCAGCGCCCCTCTCCAAGACGCGTGGAGAAAAAGACCTGGGGCCTGCCCAGATGCGCGCGCAGTGTCTGCGTTCTCTTCATCCTCCCCCTCCTCCCTTTCCCATCTCATCCCGTTAGGACACAGGAAGGGCAGCCTTGAAGCCCATCAGTGGCCTCTGCTTCCCTGAGGAATTTCTGAGTATCCCCAGATCAACTTCAGATCCTGTGAAATGTGAACTGCCTGCCTGCCTATGGTGTTGTGCCACTCAACAATCTTTCTCGCCCAGTGGTGCCCAGGAGTGACGAGGGCACCCTTTACTCCCTGGACGCCACCCCCCCCACACACTTAATCATATCAGCAAACATTCCTGGAATCACCCAGGGTTTAAAAAATGTGTTTTTTTAAAATAACAAATCAAAATGTGGGGGAGAAAGGAGAATTACTAAACTCTTTATGTGCTATAGACAAATGGCGTGCCGTGTGGGCAAACGCACAAGCTATAGCGACTTGGTCTAACGTAGTTGGACAACTATCTGGGGTGGGGGTGGGGTGGCAGGAAAGAAGAAAAAGGTAGAATTTTATTATTAAAACAAAAAGACACAAAAGAACTAGCCATGCACTTAAAAAAAAACAACAAAAAACACAACAAACAAAAACATATAGTTCCGTTGCAAAGAGATGCTTTGCCAACCTGAGCTATATTTAAGAAACTTTGTAAAGAAAAACAGAAAATGTACATAGCTGTGAGTTTAAATACACACACACACACAAAACCCAACAAACTTAACTAAAAAAAAAAAAAAGCTTTTATTGGTGTTTTTGGTTTGAAAGAGCTTTTCAGAAGACTGATTTTTTTTTTCTTTCTTTTTTTTGGTTGTGCTGTGTCTATATATAAGTATATATATATATACATCGATCATGTCACCTCTGTTTCCTCCCAGATGGGAGCGGGTTTACTCCTTCGTTCCTTGTAATGTTCATCAGACACGGAGTTTTCTAACTCATTCTATTTGCAGGACTTTGAGAGGCCGGATGGAGGACCTACAAGAGACCTGGCCCAGCACCCGTCCGAGGGCTGTGACCCTCCAGGACCACATGAGAGCATGGGCCAGTATTCTGAGCTGCTTTTAGGGAAATCTTAGTTCCTTTTAGGGAACTTTTGTGTTGCTTTTAGGGAGTTTTTAATTGTTTTTCATGTAAATGTTTGGTGCATTCACCTTTGTGGAGCCCCAGCCTACACGCGTGACTGTGGATGGAGAGATGTGCGTGCCCACACACAACACAACAAACAACGTGAATTTTTGTAAAAAAAAAACAAAGGGGATGCTAGTGGAGTTGTATGACAGCGGCCCTGGGAATTGATTGCTTCCAGCCCAGAACTGTGGCAGAAGAGAAGAAGAAAGCAGCCTTTCCGATGATCTGGCGACACCTCCCTCCATGCCACCCTCTCTCCACCCCCCTGGCAGCTGCTGGCTGTGTTTCTAGTCCGCTTTGCTAATCAGATGGTGGAAAAAAGAAGCTAGCCTTTGCTTCTTTTTGTGCATCACCTACCATCTATCAGCAGGGCTTTTATTCTTAGTATTCTTACTCTTCTTATTCTTTTTTCCCCTCCCCTACTCCCTTCTGTCCTTTCTGGGGTAGAACAGCTGCTTGTCTGAAAAGATGACCTTGTGTGGAGTGACGCTGCCCACATCTACCCAACACCCTTCATCGAGAACAAAACCAGCGATGGCGGTGCAAGTTGAGTTTTGAAGGACGTTTGATAGCCAAGATCACTGAAAGAGGAAGCAAATGAAATCATCCGTGATCGTAGAGTGAATTCCAGCTTGTGGTAACCCCAACTGAGTCGGATTAGAAGCCACACTGCCCTCTCCATCCATGGTTTTCAGTTCTTTATGGTTTGGAAGGAAGTTGCAACACCTGATGTCATGCTTTCTTCTCTGTGACACAGCGTGCACATGAATCCCACCTTCCCAATTGGCACCCACTCCTCCCACCCCCAACCCCACTGCTGTGTAGTCCGTTCTAGCTGTTGGCGATACTACAGGAGTCATACAAGTTTGTTCCTTCAGGGTTTCCATTCCTGTAACCTTTAAGACCTTGTTTACCAGGCACTACGGGATGGATTTGAACCTTCACTGCTTCTCCTGGTAACCAACTGCTTTAGGCCCCCATCCAGGAAGGCTTAGCATCTGCTTCTGTCCAGAGGCCCTTCTACCCTGTCAGCAAACACGTGGGGGGAGCCACGTTTTGACATTGTTAAAGGTAGTACGTGGACATTGCTCAACCGCTACATTGCCTTGCTACATTGAAGGCCCATGTATGACCCTCGGTCTCTCCTTTTCCTTTGAATGTCCTCCTCAAAGGGATATTTTGAGTCTCTAGAACAGAAGAGGTGGGGAGAAAGTGTCATTTTTTTAACAAAAGGAAGAAAGCACATTCTCGCTTTTTGTCTTTCAAGTATGGCTGCCTCTCTGAGAAATCTGAAGACAGGGTTCCCAAGCTGATTTGTGACCAATACCTTCTTTAAACTCCGTCTCCAGCTCCACAGCCCATCCCCCTCCCTGCCTTTCCCATCACCACCCAGAGATGCCCCTCAGCTCCATCCAACCCTCATCATAACAAGCCTTGGAAGTGAACCCCTGTGTACTAAAGCCGTCATCCCATCCCCAAGTCCTCAGAAATCCCCTCTAGGAAAAAAAAAGTGCATTCTTGGCAATCCCTATCAGCTCGTTTGGGTCCACCCTGCTGTTCTGTCTTGGTTTCTGTGCTTGAAGGTCTGTAAATACGTCGATAAAGACCATCGTGAGTTAGCTGGAGAGAATCCCACTCACCCTAGCTCACAGCTGGCCAGGGCTTCGCTGAGCTGACCAGGGCTTCTCTAAGCCAGGCTGTTCCTCAAGCTGCGTCTTCACCCCACCTGGCCCGCTGCAACCTTGAATCTCTCAGTAGAATGACGAAGGAAGCAAAGGAAACGTCACCTCCATGTGGGTTTTGTCTGTCTGTTCCGTGAATCCCTGTATTTGTTCACTATTTCCAGTTGTCTTCTGATAGCAATATGCACAGCGATACATCAGGCCTGTCACTTTTGGATTAAGGAAAAAAAGGAGAAAAAAAAGTTCCTGTTAAGTGGATAACTTTAGCTTTTACAGAAGATTATGATCAAAAGCAATTTAATACATCTTAAATGATACCTTATTTCTACATAAAGTTCTACAGTCGTCATAGACTTCTATGAGATGGAATATAAATGCTATCTATTACAAAAAAGGGGGGGGAGAAAAGAGAAAAAAATGAGAAAAAAAAAATACTTTCCTAGGCTTTTATTCTTGACTTTTAAAGGCACGCAGGGTTTAATGGTTTCTTGGGCTATTATTTTGCGATTTGGTTTTTTTTGTTTTTGTTTTTTATTTTGCCTTAAGTAATGACAGAAGATATATATGGCTGGAGACATATGTATAAACTTTTCAGCAACATTTTTAATAATAAAATATCACAGTATTTTCTAATGCTTTGTGCAAATAATTCTGCGTCCGATCTTTTTTTGTAGGCCGTCTGTCGTGTTTCTTCTTCCTGTTTTCGTTTTAGTTGTTGTTGTTTTTTCTTTCTTCCAAAAGCGTTTGCAATTTCAAAAGCTGGACACCACATCTACCCTGCCTTGGACACACACAAAGCCATTGGGTGATGGATAGTTCTTGGTGAATTGTATTTCCCCCTTCCCCCACTCCATTTTTAAACTTGTTGTTATTTGCCTAAATGTTTTCCGGGCTTATTGAGTTTCCATTCATCAGTGAATACACATGATGTTTTGTGTCATTGAAACCAGGCTCCACAGTCTGACAGCACTCTTTCCAGTTCCCCCTTGAGGTTCCAATTTCCATTCAACCTTTCTGAAATGTCCCTCCCTTGTCCCCATCTCCTGAGCTTCTTGCTAAAAACAAAACTCAACCCTTTTCTGTGCTCCAGTTGGAACCGACTCACAGCTGACCTTCCAACAGGCATCCGGAGGCTATAAATCCCAGGAGACGAGCTTGCCTAGCTTTCTGTTAACCGACAGTGGGTGGATTTGAACCACCTGCCTTTGGCTTTGCAGCACAACTCCTTACACATCAGGCTAACATCCCTGGGCAAATAGTACTCTTGATTTTGTGTGGTGGTTTGAAGGAGTATGTTGCAGCCCGCTGTTTTGTTTTTGTGTGTAGTTAGTGACTAAGGAGGATAGAAGAAGCCTCAATGCCTTTGAGTCGTGGTGCCGGAGAAGAGCGTGGTGGATTCGAACTACGTTCCTTTGGGTTGTCTGCACAGCTTCTTCTCACGAGCCCACCAACGTTTCCTTCACAATTCTAGTAAACACAATTGGAATGAAAAAGAACTTGAAGGTAAGATGATAAGAATGTAAGAATGAATGAGCATCAGAATGTTTTCAGCGCGGGAGAGAGTGAGCGAGGGATGCAAGATTCAGCTCATGGTTGCCAATTGCAAAGCCGATGGTTCGAAACCACCCAGAGGTTTCCATGGCAGAAAGACGTGGCCTCCCCACAGGACATTTCTTCTCTGGACAGAGAGTCTCTTTGGGTCAGGATGCTGTTCTGTAATAGCAATTTATCATTAATTATATCGCCTCTCTCGTTGAGTATCTTGTCCCTTACAATTAACTTCACACATGTATGACCATTATTACACGGTTTTCAGCAAACATCATCTTGACGTTTCCAGAACCAATTTGGATGCTCACTGGTTTTGCGATGCTTCTTTCTCTCAGTCCTGTGATGGCTGCAGGATGTTGCAATGCCTGATGGGAGTATCTTTGACTTGATGGGAGAAATAGTTTGCCAAAGAGTTCGCAAGGACTTTAGGACATCCAGGATCACATCTGTGTGAACATACTACATCAGCACAAAACCCAAATCTGCTTCTTGTTTGTTTTGTTGTTTTTATTTTACAAATCATGCTGGTTTTCATTCAGTCATTCATGCACCTTCTAATTCATAACATTGATGACATAGTATCTCTTTATATA